AAGGGGTCCACCGGGCGGGTGGTGTTAGCTGAGTGCCAATCACGTCTAGGGGATAGTTTGGGACGTGACAAAAATTTGGGCAAATTATTACAGTTAACAAACAAATCGTTACGAATGAAGTAAATTCAATATTATTTACTATTAAGTTTGTAGTATTTTTTATATAATTAATTATTGAATAAATCTTGATTACTTATGAAATTTTAATATATAATTCTGTTATAATTCAAAAATAACTTTAAAAGATGATAGTTCAAACAGAACCATGCAGAAATTTAGTAGAAAAATGTTGGAAACTAACATATGAAATATTAATATAGAAAATTTATCAACATAAGTGTTTGTTATATGAATAATTACTTAATTATCTTTTTAGTTATTGAAATTAATCATTAAATTCTCTATTAACCCAAAATATATCTGAAAAAAAAAGATGATAGTTCAAACACAAACTCTCTCGAATTTTTGTCAACAAACGTAAGAAAATAACATAAAAAAAACAACAATATTGAAAATTTGTCAAACTAAGTATTTTTATATGAATACATATTAATTATATCATATATAGTTATGAAAATTAATTATTTAATTTTGTTATACCCAAAAATAGCTGAGTAAGAAACAAACATATAAAATAATAAACTAACATATAAATTAATGTAAGAAACTAACATATAAAACAATAATATAGAAAATATATCAACCTAAGTAATAATATAAAAAAAATATCGATTAAATACTAATATAAAAGATATTGCAATATATTTAAATATGTTAAATAATTAAACAGAAAAATACTTTAATTAATATTGTTCAATTTACAGACATCTTCATGGAGGTTCCCCTTGTGCATCCCGGACCTGCATCTCGAGAGATACTGTTGTTACTGAGCAACCATAGGTCTTCACACATCTGGAATGGGCAGTGTCTGTCCCAGACATTCCGCCCTAGATGTATAGACGATATGTGGGAGTTCATTAGGAACCACCCACTGCATCCCCGTACAGTTAGACGCCTTCAAGGTACGAGTTTTTACAGGATCATAGAGATCGGCCGGTTGCAGTTCGACTGGGCGTTGATCACGGCTATGATAGAGCGGTGGCGACCGGAGACACACACGTTTTATCTACCCATCTGATAGTATACCTATAACTTACCCGCATGCTCTTAGAGACTATACAGGAGTGGATTACCTTCATATGTTGCAGCGGCTCACCAGTTTCCAGTCAGCGGAGCCGACTGCATTGAGTGGAGACAGTCGATTGCAGCTGATGCCCGTTCGGTAGCATCTGGGAACGACGGATGCGGAGATTACTGTTGATTCACCGCCAGAGGATATCGACCGGCACACGAGACTGTTGTTGATGTTGATGTTTTGTGGTATATTGTTCCCGAACACTTCGGGAAACCTAGTCAGCATGCGATTTCTACATCATCTGGAACGAATAGATGATTTATCTGGGTTACAGCTGTGGCGCAGCTGTTCTAGATTACCTGTATAGGCAGATGTGTCGGGCGTGCATGGGCACCATGAGAGACGTTGCCTTATTTTTACCGCTACTGCAGGTGAAAACATAGTCAATTCTTTTCATGATTATAACATACATAGTAAAAACTTCCTTACATTTTACGTCCACAATCTATATTAGGTTTGGGCCTGGGAGCGGTTCCTGCAGTTCCAGCCACCTCTGCCATCGATAGCTCCGGATGCACCACCGTTTCTCCCTTTAGCTTGGAGGTGGGTTGATAGGCGAGGCTACGCCCGCGAGGTCGAGGCTCGACATCATTTCCCTTATTACAAGGATTTGTTGGATTTACTTGAAGGCGTGAGGTACATATATACTTAAGTTTACTTGGCCTGGCTTGATATGTATTGCGTTTACTCACGATTGTTGTGTTTAATAAATAGTTCGTATGGAGGCCATACAACGACGCGTTCATAGCTGGATTGCCAGATTATTACTCGTGCGGTCGAGCTATGTGGAGCTCTTTCATCCCACTGATATGTCTCGATATAGTTGAGTATCATACCACCGAGCGAGTCCTTTGCCAGTTTGGTCACCCGTAGCTTGTACCTATTCTGCCCACTTGGCACATGACACATTACCAGCGGGATGATCGTTGCAAGGTTGACCAGACATACTTGGACTGGCTAGAGGCCCAGATTGAAGTTTGGGACTAGAGGTATGGCCTGATTCCGCCATACCCTCCACCTGATCGTATGGAGAGCGAGAATGAGTACATGGGTTGGTATCGTAGTGTTACCCGACTTCTCATTGGGAATCCCATTCATCGCATTGGTGGTCGGTACATTCCATACGCCGGGAGACATGAGGCGCTGGTATGTTATTTGTTATACTTACTTATAACGTTATATTATCCTTCCGTAATTAATATTTTATACGGAAAATGACCTAAAATGCCCCTTTACTAAATGAAATAGGATAGGCTAGCCCTCCGTTAAACATTGGTCTCTATTCTGCCCTTGTCGTCAATAAATGGGCTCGTATATGCCCTCCATCACTAACGAGAGACTCATAAAGCCACGTGGAATATATGTGAGGGCAAGTTAGACCTAGTTCGAATTGTACATGGGCATATATGAGTCAGTTTACTTAGACACCTATTTGACAACACCAATTTAATTATCATAGCAAATAAACTCAGTCATAGACACAACAAATGAACGGCAATGACTTCACTAAATCCTTGTACAAAAACATAATGCTTCATTACATAAAAAAAGACAACAATTAAACCACAATAACACTAACATTACATATCACTTCCCACGGATCCAAAGAACATAACAAAACATATCAATATCACACACATGAAAATCCACATCTTCTTCCGAAATATAGCATCAAGCACAACTGAGTACTCTAAATCGGTCACTTTCTTCATTAGAACATTTCATTCCAATTCCAAGGCTTCTATTCCTCCATGATCGACGAGCATCATAACATTCTCAAGATCAAACTTTCCTTTGGAGAGCATTTCTTTCATGGATTAGAGCTTCCTTTTCCTTTTTTAAACTGCATATGAGATTTGACACTCTAGGAGGAAGCTCTTCATCTTGCCATTCCCAATAGGAATATTTTTCATCCTAAAAACCAAAAATAAATAAAGCAAATTTACAAGCAAATCGGAATAATTAAAAAAACCCATCAAAACATTTATTTACCTCATGATTCGGGCACTTGAAAAACCTTCTCCCAGCATTTAAAGGAGTCTATGCCATGAAATAATTGGCAGCAAGTCTGCAATGACACCTCCTATTCGACCCCTTTGAGCTACTAGAACATTCCGACATTGTCTTTTGTTGTCTTTTGTTATGATTCCACCCCTTTGAGATACTAGGATTTAATGAAGTCATTGTCGTTCATTTGAATGTTTGTATCTATGACTTAGTTTATTTGCTGTGATAATTAGTTTGGTGTTGACAAATAGGTGTCTAAGTAAACTGATATGGAGTTGTGAAGTGTTTGAGAAATGATATATTATAACTGACTCATATATTCCCCTGTATAATTCGAACTAGGTCTAACTTTCCCTCACATATATTTCACGTGGCTTTATGAGTCTCCCGTTAGTGATGGAAGGCATATACGAGCCCATTTGTTGACCGCAAGGGCAGAATAGAGATCAACTTTTAACGGAGGGCTAGCATGTCCTATTTCATATAGTAAAGCGTCATTTTAGGTCCTTTTCCGTATTGTATATGTTATGCATGCTATTGGCTTACACTTGTTCTACCAGTTGGGACTAGAGATGCTACAACATACAGGCGAGGGAGCGGCAGTTTGCACGTGTTTGGCCATCGGGTTACTGATCTTGCTGCTGACACATTGAGACGTGCCCGAGAGGATAGGCGCTTAGGATACGAGGCAGCTTATGTGCCGCCCTAGGAGTACCATCATGGGCCACCGGTGGAGCCTGAACGTGGTAGACGAGGCAGGCGTGGCCAGAGTGGAAGGGGTAGCCCACGTGGTCGTGGTGGTCGGCGAGGACGGGGTCCCCAGCAAGGGGGCGTTGAGGCACCCGTGGAGGATATTAGAGATGATCAGCCGGGTGAATACCTTGAGCCACACAATTCTCCTCATGATATGCCGTCATTCAGCTTTCATCTGTCATCGGGGACTTCGCAGGTGACCCCGTCAGCTCCATTATTGATCGCGGGCACGGCCATTACGCGGCAGGAATGAGATCAGTATTTTCCTGATCATCTAGAGCCATCGATGGTTGTTGCTGATCGTTCGATACTAGAGGTGCATAGTGGGCGATGACTGAGTTATGACTTATCACCGAGGGGTGCTGAGGATCTTTCACATACTTTATCTACTATAGTGCACCTCGATGTTCCGACAGAGCATTGTGTCGCTACTCATGCGCAAGTTTGTTTGTATTACTATTATTTCAATGTGTTTTTACCTTATAGATTAGTCAGTAATATCTGAGTGTTTATATTATTTTAAAGATTTCGTCATCGCCCGTCAGGGCGGCCACATTGTGCGATACTGACTTTCCGGAGACGGATGATCATTGTTTCTCGAAGCTCTGCAGAAGCTGAATATAGAAGCTTAGCAACAACAATAGCTGAGCTAATCTGGCTACATGGAATGCTAAAGGAAGTTGAGATTCATATTAAGCTACCTATTGATATTTAGTGATAGCAAAGCAGCCATACAAATAGCTGCAAATCATGTCTATCATGAAAGGACTAAACATATTGAAATAGATTGTCACTTTGTGACAGAAAGAATTCAGCAGGGACTCATTACTACAAAATACATTTCAACAACTAATCAACCTGCAGATGTTCTTACAAAAGGATTGACCAGAGTTTAACATGAGTATCTAAAGTCCAAGCTAGGAATGTTTAATATTTTTTCACCACCTAGATTGAGGGGGAGTATTGAATAAAGTAAGGGTATAATAGTCTTTGCATGGTAAAGCTGTTAGGAAGTGAGTTAAGTTGTTAATGGTTGTTAGAAGAATTAGTAATATCAGGATTAGTAGTTAGTTAGAGTGCTAACGAGAGGGTTAAAACATTGATATATAAGTAAGCCTTTACATTGTAAAAAAGACATTTTTTTAGGAATAATAAAAATACTCTCCACTAATTCTCTCTCTCGTCTAATGCTTCTTCTTCTTCTTCTTCTTCTTCTTCTTCTTTTCTGCATTTCTTCTTCTTTCTATCTTTCTTGATACTCTGCTTATTCTCATCACAATTGTGTGAATAATTACAATGTTGCTACTCTTAATGTCTTTGTGTACAACCCTTGGCCTTGTATGTTCATGGATATATAAGAGACCATTTGCAACATCAGTGGCAATTTTTAACCTTGTTTTCCAACTCAATTTTTCTTTTTTGTCCTCGTGAAGCCATGAATGTAGTGAACCATTTTCAACATACTCATAAACAAAATAGCAATTTGCTTCTTTAGGGTCTATGCAAAAATCCTCTAACTTCACTAAATTCACATGGTTCACCTACCAAAAAACAAAAAAGGAAAAAATATTAAGTAGACGTTTGCTATGTTGCTCGAACTCTCTAAAAGTGTTGTCGCACCCGTATCGAATTCTCAAAAAATGCACTAAATTTGGAGGATCCGACACGCACCCAACAATATTTTTGAAGAGTCCGAGTAACATAGGACGTTTGGACATAAAAATTATAATTTTTGAAAAAAGTAGTGTTTGAAGTTAAATTAAAAAATAGTATTTTGAATTTTGGACATATATTTCATTTGAAAAAATGTTGCAGCTTTGTGAGTGGGGAAAAAAGATTTCTGAAAATTTTGAAAATGTGGTCATTTTTTAAAAACACATTTTCGAAAAAATTTCAAAAACTTGAAAAATTTTATGGACAAATACATTTAAAAAATTTTAAAAAAAGAAATTTATTTTATGGACAAACAGAAGAAAGTCTAAATTTTCATGGTCCCTATTCCTTTGTTTTTATTCCAAGACTTAAATTTACTCATGTACCCAAAAGTGACACCACTGCAAGAGAGGTTGCAAAATAGGACATGATAGACAATTTCTTTCTTAAATTTAATTTCCATACACTAACAAGGTAAACGAATTTTTACACTACCAATATCAGATTACCTAAAACATAACTATTATAAGAGTGAAAATATTAGTGACGTAAAAATAAGACAAATGATATACTAAGGGCTCCTTTGGTACGAGAGATAATTAATTAATTCCGGGATTAAATTTGAGATTAGTTTATTCTATGTTTAGTTGAAATAAAATCGTGGTATAACTAATTCCAAGATTATCCCAAAATTATAGTGTTAAGTTTGTTCCTATGGGAGGATAGGATAACAATCACGGAATAACTAATCCCCAGATAATTAATGATGGGATAACTTGTTTCCCAACAATACTGCAAGAGAGGTTTCAAAATAGGACATGATGGCAATTTCTTTCTTAAAAAAAATGATTATACACCGAACAATCTAAACGAATTTTACACTATCAATATCAAATTACCTAAAATATAACTAAACATAACTATTACAAAAATGAAAATATTAGTGACGTAAAAATAAGAGAAATAACACACTAAATGCAACAATACTACAAGAGAGGTTTTAAAATAGGACATGGTGACGTTTCTTTATTGAAATAGGTAGGCTAATAAAATCAATTCAAAGTAGTACAGCCAAGCTAAGCTAAAGCATGAGGCATCCATCTATACCTACTACCTTCCACCAATAAATGTACCAAATAATTCTGTACGACAAAACTTAGGCATAAGCATATAGAAGAATTAATTAATATATTTTTTTCTCCGTTAAAATTTAACTTATATTTCATAATACTTCTTCTATTTCATTAGCCATTATTGTTAATTTTTGATATACAATAACTTTGCTTATGGGTCCATTACCCTGCCACCCACCATTCTTGTTAAAAGGGATTTGAGGGATTGGTAGGGTCTCCTCACAAACATCAATGAAAAAGAAAAAACAAAAGGTGAATAATTGAGGAACAAATAGAAAAAGTTCTTTAATGAAAAGATATACTGCAGAGGACAAATAAATTCAGGATAGAATGGTGTTGATTAACTTAAATAATATATTATTAAATTTAAACAGGCATAATAGTCCACTTGATTATTATAGACCTAATTTTGGGATAAAAATTTAATGTCTTATTCCTTATTTGATTACTAATCTTTGAATAAGCTATCACATGATTAAAAATAGTATTGGGATAATTTATATATATGTCATAAATTATCCTAGGTTAAAACAGTAAAATTAATAATCTCAGAGTTAGTACAATATATCAAATAATTAATAAAAAATAAAATCAGAATAACTAGTCCCACCATAACTTATCTCCGAACCAAACGAGCCCCCGAGTGGTTCTAATGGTCATAAAGTAGGTGTAAATTTCGAAGCTAATGTTCAAATTATAGCGGAAACAAAAACTTATTAGGAAATATCCTTTTATGAAAGGTAGGAGATAGTCAATAGAACAGTTCACAATTCGAGGTAAGCACTGACTAAGTCCAAACTCCACAATATTTAAGAAAAATCTAACTTTCTACTGGTGTCTTCTTGGGATGAATACAAAGGCTTAATTAAAGTATAGAATTGGAGTAAAAATTTTACCTTTTGGAGGATCTCGAGCTCCTCACTGGCATTCCACTTCATTTTCTTGATTGCAAATTATACCTTTATACACAGACCCTTGAATCTAACACCCTTCATCAAATCCAAGATATAAGCTTCTCTTACTCTTCCCTGATTTCTCTCTACAACCCCATAAACCAGCTAACAAAATCAGTAACAGCACACAAATTCCTAAACCAATAGCTAATCCTATGACTGTTCCTTTCTTGTCATTTTCTTGTACTACAGGACCATTTGAAGCTGTTGGTTGTGTAATATCAGGAAGTTTAGATAGAGGAATGAAAAGGATATCAAAAATCTTGGGATTATTTCCATTAATTTTCCTTATAGATTGTGGGGTTGTTCCAAATCTTGAAGCAATTGAAGAAATATTGTCAAAAGGTTGAAATACATAACTAATAAGATATCTTGGTTGGTTTTGGTTTTGGGGTTGCGTTTGTGTTCTGTTTGGACACTTGCAAAAAATTGGGAATTCTATGACTTGACCTATGTCAATATTTTCTGGTACAACAGCTGGATTAACAGCCTCAACAGATTGATAAGTTGTAAGGTTTTGAAACTTAACAGTTGAGACCATGTACATAGTATCACCGAAGTTGAAACTATAGTTAAGGCCAGCATATGAGATGTTACCAGAAGTGGTATTGAGGTTGTTACAAGAACAAGTGATTGGTACTAAGAGGGATTGGTCATTGACTAGAGTTGTGTTTGAGGTAGAAATATTACTAGGATTTGCAATCATAAGCCTACTTACTGAAAAAAGGTCACCAATTGAGGCTAAATCAAGAAATTCTGGTCCTCTTGCTCTGTAAAAGACATATGTTTGACATGGATAAAATTGGCTTGAATTACAGCTATAGCCTGTTGTACTTGGTGCATCTTGTGCATAACATAGGTTTTGATTATACAATAGGAAGATGGAGAAGAAAAGAAGTGAAAAAGTACCATACATAGGCTTGATTCTCATTTTCTTGATTTGTTTTGGTTTTGTGGAGAAAGATGTGTTAAAAATATAATGGAGCTAAGAAGTTTATATACCCAAAATGTTGTTGTTTTTCTTATAGTCTTGGTTTTGACCATTAATGGTAGATGAGGTTTTTTTCATTGGATTGGTTGTTTTAATTTCTCATATGGTCTTGTCTATAGAATTGATGGAAGATGGTAGGTTTTCCAATTTGATGGTCCCACATAGAAGACTTTTTGGTCAACCTTAATGCAGAAAATACTCTTATTTATCTTTGTTGTTTTCTGCAAATTAGTAGACTGCAAAATGTTTTAACATGTTTGGACTAGTCATCTGCCTTTTAGACACATCTTTTTCTAATAAAGTAGGAGTAGCTAGCATTTAACATAAATTTAGTTTGAAGAATTTTTAAAGTTGGGTTGAAAAAGAAACGGCCAAAATTTATGGCCAAAAGGGTAGCGTAGTATATACTAAAACACAACTATCACAGTGGAACTATTAGAAAATTAAAAGGTTTGGCTTCTTTGTGATTGGACCGTTTATTGAACTAGAAACTCAAATTTTTAATATCGAAAAATATCTTATTATTATCAAAAGACCAGTATTAAACTAAAAGCTTCTTCAATTCCATAAGTACTTTTTTTTAAAGTTTAAGTGTTTGATCAAGCTTTTGGAAAAAAAAAAGTGCTTCCGAATAGAAGCATAAACGGTTTTGGAGAAACAGAAAAAAATAGCTTCTCTCCAAAAGCACTTTTGAGAAAAATATACTTAGAAACAGTTTTTAAAAACTTGGTCAAACACTAATTGCTGCTCAGAAGTGATTTTCAAGTTAAGTAACCAAACACAAACACTTTTAAAAAAAAATAATTCTCTAAATAAGCTATGTTGGTTGTTTGTCCAAACATGTATTATTTTCCAAATTAAATGCCAACTTTGTCAAGAGTCCTAATACCAAATCCATTTGTCTCAATATAATTTGTGGATGACTTATATATATTGGAAGACCAAGACTTTTAAACTTAGACAATGGTGCCTCGGCGTATCGGAGAGGTCATCAAAAGGACTAGTCATCAAAGCTAAGTGTCTCTTTCTCTCTTTTTTTCTTCTTCTTTTTGCTTTATAATTGGTGTCCGGATTAGATTGCACGTATCATTATTATTCTAGTTGTTGAGTGCGCAAATAAAATTTCATATTGGTAGTTTAAAAAATTAGGAGATGCATATATGGTGTAGAGATCTTTTAATGATGTGAGACTTTTAAAAAAAAAACTATACTAGATTAGCCCGAAGCGAATAATATCACACCATGTTAAGAGTATTTGTGGGCTGGTTGAACCTAAGAACTATATCTGAGCCCAGATTAGACGGGATGAGTATGGTGATGACAGATAATTGCTCTGACAATCTTGGAATCGTGGTAATACACCACATGGAACTAGTTCCGAGGAGAGACTCGTGAATCGTGATGATGAGTCACGTAAAACTTAGTTGATGTACGGGCTTGACGAAAAATGGATAATATCACATCATGTTAAGAGTATCGTAAACAATATCACATCATGGACAATATCATATATGTTGCCTCTTATTAACCTTAAATATCAAATAACTATGTCCATTAAAATTTAGATAGATAATTAAAAATTTGTAATATTTTTTGTCCGAGCAAAAAAGTCATGCTCTATCCTCTTGCTAGTGGAGTTAAAATTAGAAAGCACTAAACAAGAAAGAGGGTTAACTGTAGTTTTTCTTATCCTTTGGGAGCTTATGATCAAGTTCGTTTTATCATAGTTAATGGACCTAATCTTACAAGTTGGAAAGATCTTTTAATTCTTCTTGACTTGTAAGTCTTCATTAGGCATATCCTGTGGAGAAACTGAGTTGATAGTTACCCTTCGTTAAAGACGGATTCAGAATTTTAAATTAGTAAATGCGAATACTCTTTTGTGTCAATGGGTGAAACTAGGTATAACTATTTTCCTAGTTCTTTTAAAAAGGATTTAAGTATAATTTATACAGTAACAATAGACATTTTTCACAAGCCTCATTTACCACAACCATCTTTGATATATAGGAATCTAACTTTCCTAGTGCTTACACAAGAAGGGCACAAGGGTTACAGACTCTCACAGTGACCACTTTAGACAACAATCAGTGGTACATTGTCTCCCATAAGCTACTTTTTCTTTTTAAATAATGGTGGTATATAGAGTCGCTTACACACGGCGATTATTTTATCTTATACTTGCTTCTCCCCACCAACAAGTCAAGAAAATTAAGTCGTTGCTCTAGTTCCTCTGATCTGACAACAAAAACTAATTTACTACAACAATAACTACGACAGTGTAATCACACGAGTGGGGTTTAGGAAGAATAGTGTGTACGCATATTTTACTCCTGCCTTAAGAAGGTAGAGATCCTGTTTTCGAAAGGCTGTTTCCAAAAACTAATTTACAACAATAACTAATTACAAAAAAGATATCATTCACATGAAATGTCATATATACATTGATTATACAACTAGATCGACGATCCAAAACACAATTTGTTTCATTGTACTTTTATCTTTTCATGATATCATCCTTCTGAATCTTAACAGTGAAATCCCATATATCACCATATTTCTCATTGAATTCCCAAATATCCATGGTGTTATAATCCGATATTAACTTGTCTCGTGCTCCTCGTTCCATGTTATATATCTGAGGCTCAAAATTGTGAGCTTCACTTGGTTTGTCCATCTCAATAATGCAAAACACAATTGTAAACACAGCTGCTCCAATATATAAGTACTCCCCCTGCATGTCAAGAGGTGAAAGCATCAGACTTTAGTTTGCTAGAAAAGGGCATTTTCGAGTGTCAAATTTCGTCGACTTACTGGAACATTGAAGTACATTCCAGCAGCAATTGCTGATAGGAATAGCCATGAAATAATACCTATTTTGGAAACACCAGAAAACAAGGTGAACTTAATTATGTGAAATGCAACAACAACAAATGCAGTATAATCCCACAAAGTGGGATCTGGGAAGGGTAGATTGTACGCAGCCTTACCCCTACCTTGAGAAGGTAGAGAGACGGTTTCTGATAGACTCCTGACACAAGTAAAGATGAAAAGAAATAAATGGGCGTTAACGGTCATATGGTTGGTAATGTGTTATATATACCTTGAAATCCTGTTGGTGGTGCAACGGCAGCATAATCTTCTTTTATGGATTCCCAAAATGTAGCTGCAATGTAAGTTCAAATCATGAATTTATTCCACGGATGATAGGACTAACTTATCAGATAGCTGAGATCATATTGAACATAAAGATCCAAGTCTTTTTTGTCATACTAAAGCCAATAGAGAACTTAACTAGTAAATGAAGTATTTCCTACATTTCTAAGTATGTGATACAATTCATTTTAAGAGATTAAATTGACCATATTTTGTTAGGCTAAACAGCTACAGTAAGTTACATAATCTGGAAGTCTGAACTTTAAAATGATACAGAAGTGTTTCTAAAAGTTGGGATCAAGTTAACTACTAGCAGCGGCTGAGATTTGAACTTTGTGGGATCTAAACTCTAAGATAATGACATTAGGCATTAGTACTGGTTCTGAATTTAATTTCCGCACATAATTAGTAGATTTTTATAACACAAATTCAGGGTTTAGACTAAAGTTACTAAGTTCGGCCGAACCCGTACGTACATAATCATCTTGCTTCTCCCCTAGCTACTTGTTTGGACATAAATTTTTCAAGTTTTATGAAATAGAATTTTACATATTTATAAATTATACGGAAAGTACTATAAGTCAGCAAAGTTAATCATTCAAATATTGTAGTAAAAAATTGTTCCTCAAAATAATAACTTTTTTTGTTTTCCATTCGGTGTCCGGTACCCGCATTGGAGCCCGATTATATCCGGATTCGTGCCGCGTAGGGCTCCATTCGGGGGGAAGCGCTCCCTATCAATGATTTCTCCATACCCAGGGCTGGAACCCGAAATCTTTAATTAAGGAAAGAGCAGTTCCATCCACTGCACATCCTTCGGTGGTCCTCAAAATAATAACAGTGTCATATAAATGGGATTATGTACCTTTATCTTCACTCTCAAAATAGGTGTGATGATCATCGTACTTTCCAAACACAAAATCTTCCTGCAACAATCGAAAATACCAATTCTTTATGACATGCCTATTTGCAAATTCATAGAACAATTATGAACATTTCACGGGTTTGACCTGTGAAAACAGCTACTAATATTTGAGTTAGGGTAGACTGTTTACATGGGGTCCAACCCTTCCCCGAACCCTACGCGAATACATGATGCTTTGTGCATCGGGTTGCCTTGTAACTATAAATAGATAAATCAAAGATGAATTGTAACGACACGACCGGTCGTTTTGAGAGTTGTAGCCTCATTCCCCTATTTACTGCTCAATTTATGCTTTACATTTGTTATGTGACTTGCCGGGATGATTAGTTTGGGTCCAAGAAGTTTTAGAGGAATAAATTGGAACACTTAGTTTCAAGGTTTAAAGTTTAAATTGAAATAGTGATTGGATGTCGACTTATATGTAAACGACCCCGGAATAGAGTTTTGATGATTCCAATAGCTCCGTATAGTGATTTTAGACTTAGGAGCATGTCCGGAAAAATTTTTAGAAGTTTGTAGTGGAATTTGGCTTGAAATGGCGAAAGTTGAATTTTTGGTAAATTTGACCAGGGAGTTGACTTTTTGATATCGGGGTCGAAATCCAGTTCTGAAAATTTTCATAGCTCCGCTATATCATTTATAACTTGTGTGCAAAATTTGAGGTCAATCGGACTTGATTTGATAGATTTCAGTATCGAATGTAGAAATTAAAAATTCTTAAGCTTCTTAAGCTTGAATTAGGGTATGATTCTTGGTTTTAGCGTTGTATTATATGATTTGAGGTTTCAATTAAGTTCGTATGATATTTTAGGACTTGTTGGTGTATTTAGTGGAGGTCCTGAGGGCTTTGGGTGAGTTTCGGATGGTTAACGGATCAAGAATTAAAGTTAGGAGACTACTGAAGTTGAGTTTGCTGGTTTTTGGTTGATCTGGTTTTTCCTTCATCTGTCAAAAATCGAGGTAAAAAATCGAGGTCAAAATCAAGGTCAAAAATCGAAGTCAAAATCGAGGTCTGGAAATTGAGGTCATGAAATCAAGGTAAGAAATTGAGGTCAAAATCGAGATCAAAATCGAGGTCAGAAAATCGAGGTCAGGTAATCGAGGTCAGGAAATCGAGGTATAGAAATCGAGGTCAGAAAATCGAGGTCAGGTAATCGAGGTCAGGAAATCGAGGTATAGAAATCGAGGTCAGAAAATCGGGGGCAGCGCCTAGACAGAGACTTTAAGTTATAAAACGGAGGTTTCGTCCCATTTTTCATTTTGACAAATTGGAGCTTTAGGAGAGGCGATTTTTGAGAGATTTTCATGGAAAATCATTGGGGTAAGTAATTCTAACTAGGATTTGGTCAATATACACGAATATATCATTGTTTCCATCATTTAATTAGTGTTTTAAGATGGAAATTTGAAAAAAAATTTAGAAATCTCATAAAACGAATTTTTGAGATTTCGGTGTCGATTCGGAGTCGGATTTGAGTAAAACTAGTATGGTTGGAATCGTAATTGAATAAGTTATCGGATTTTTTGAGTTTCGTCGGATTCCGAGACGTAGGCCCCACAGACAATTTTTGGGTTAAATTTCGGATTTTGTTAGAAAATTTATATTTTCATATGGAATTTATTCCTATAATTTGTATTGATTGAATCGAATTAATTATGACTAGATTCGAGCCGATCGGAGTCAAAAAATCGAGAAAAAGGCATACTATTTGACTGATTGAGCGTGGTTTGAGGTAAGTGACTTGTCTAACCTTGTGGGGGGGAAATTTCCCTTAGGATTGATATTGATATAAAAATATTGATATGTTGAAAGTCGTGTACACGAGGTGACGAGTGTGCACACAGGCTAAATGTGAAAGATTATGTCTTTAAATTGTGTAGAGCACTATTGCATTTCGGGATGCTATTTCGGAAAAATTATTTTCTTTAAAATTTAATGTGAAGGCTCCCATGGTGATATAAAAAAATAAGATATTGTGAATTTATTTATGATTTGGGACTACGAGGTGGTACCTCGGGAGTGCCCTTGTTGATATTTCTCTATGGCTACATTGTCTTTGGTTATTTTTGGTGTTTTCCTTAAAGTTGTAAATTTCTGTTTTCCTTCCGCGAGGTGTTATTTGCTGTAACGACCCGACTTGTCATTTTAAGAATTAACGGACTGTTCAACGACTAAAGGTCTCGAGCAGCTTCGTAATATGTATTATGATCTGCGGGTGTGGTCGAGTTTGATTTTCAGAAGATTCGGAATTAAATTGAAAGAATAATTCTTATTTAGAAGCTTAAATGGAAAGAGTTGACCGGAGAGTTGACTTTTGAGCAAACGACCTCGGAATGGAATTTTGATGATGTCAATAGCTTCATATGGTGATTTCGTACTTAGGCGTTTGTCCGAATTTGGATTAGAAGTCCGTAGGACAATTCGATACATTTTGGCGAAAGTTGGAAATAGAAGGGTTTTGGAAAGTTCGACCGAAGGTTGAAATTTTGATAAAGAGGTCGGAATTCGATTCTGAATATTTGAGTAGCTTCGTTATATCATTTATGACTTGTGTTCTTAATTTGAAGTCATTCCGGATTGATTTGATACGTTTCGACGTAAAATATAAAAGTTGGAAGATTTGAAAACTCATAATTCGATTCGATGCGCGATTCGTAAATTCGGCGTTGTTTGACGTGGTTTAAGGCCTCGACTAAGTTCGTATTGTATTTTGGGATATATTGGTATATTTGGTTAAGGTCCCGAGGGTCTCGGGTGGATTTCGGATGGTTAACAGATTGATTTTTGGACTTGTTGAAGCTGCTGGATTTTCTGGGCAGCAACTGATGCAATCGCACCTGCGAATTTTGGTGCGCATGTGCGCGTTCGCTCCTGCGAGAATTCTGGTCACTTCTGCGATGTATGGGGCAGTTCTGTTGCGTCGCTTCTGCGGAAAGGGGAGCGCAGGTGCGCGATCGCACCTGCGAAACATGGATCGCAGATCCGATGCTCGGCATTTTTGTCGTCCGCTTCTACAGCATTGATGCCGCTTCTGCGAAAGCGCAGATGCGAAAGGTCCCTCGCAGGTGCGCAAACTGGGCAGAATGTTAAGGACCAAAAATGGTCATTTCGCCATTTTTGTTTTAGATTTTTAGAGCTCGGATTTGGGCTATTCTGGAGGGATTTTTCACAAACTTGATTGGGGTAAGTGTTCTATATCCTAAAGTGATTATATTTCATAAATCTATGGTTATATTCATCATTTAATTCGGATTTAAATGGAGGAAATCAAGATTTTTGCAAAATCTTCCAAAAACGAAAATTTAGGATTTGGAGGTCGAGTTATTATATAAAATTGGTATGGTTGAACTTGTATCGGAATGGGTGTTTGAATTTCGTGAAAATTATGTCGGGTTCCGAGAGGCGAGCCCCGCGTTGAATTTTTAGGATAAATTTCTAAGTCGACGTTTTATTATCCAGAATTATTTTCGGTAAATTTTAATGAAGTGTTACAATTAATTTGGATAGATTTGAGCGGTCCGGAGGTCAATTCAAGCAAGAATGCTATTTTGGAATATCGGCATAATTTCAAAAAGGTAAGTATCTTGCCTAACCTTGAGTTGGGGAATTACCCCTTAGGCATTGAGTCTTATGTGCAATTTGTATAATTGAAAACCATGTACGAGAGGTGACGATTACGTACTTAGTTTATATTTGCAAATTACATTGGTTAAGATCCTTAGACGCCCTTATGTATTAAACTGAAAATTATTGGCACTTATTAAATCCTTTAATTGTCTTACCTAAATCCTTGTTTTATTGGATTTGTTTTTATATGATGATTTGGTGTGATTGTCACCTTGAGTTTTATGTGAAATATTATTTTATTGAGTTGTTCACTGCCGGATATATTTGTTAAGATTTTGTGCACATTATGGTCGAGCCATGAGCTCCTTATTGTAGAAAATAATGTATTGTTAAATTTTGTGGCGAGTTGTAATATTTGAGCACTTGATGTGCAATCTGTGATATATTGTAATAGTTGAGCACTTGATGTGCAATCTGTAATAAATTATAATATTTGAGTACTTGATGTGCAAATCTGTGATATGTTGTAATATTTGAGCACTTGAGGTGCAATTTATGAGATGTAATATTCGCACGTTATATTGTTGGGAAGTTTTGTTCGGGTGTTTGCACGAGATTTCTGCTGTGCTATTATTACTATTGATTTATGCACATGCGGCGTGACAAGGCGGGCTATATATGTATATATGTGGGTTTGCGCATGTGGCGAGACAAGGTGGAACATTATTATACGCGTGTGGAGCACTACTGGAAAATGGGCCTATGGCAACGGCGGGAAAACCGTTGCAAATGATAGGTAAACCATTGCTATAGATGTATTGGAACGGTTTAGTAACTGTTACATCCGCTCGCGTGCCAATAGATCTAGAGCAACGGTTCTTGCGACGGTTGACCACACCGTTGCTATAGCGTCAGCTATTGCAACGGTTTTTCCTGTCTGAAGCAACGAGTGGTCATTTCAACTGCAACGGTTTAAAACCGTTACCATAGAGTTTAATGCAACGGTTGTAAACTGTTACCATATTATTATTTACCACGACGATTGGAAACCGTTACCATATAATTTATTGCAACGATTATGTATGTTATTGCAACGGTTATTTACAGATATTCTAACGATTTTATTTCTATTGCAACAGGTCTATTAGGCTATTGTAACAGTTTAATTGACAATATTGCCTGGTTATAAATAACATTTACATATATAAATATTTGTAATAACCTGGAAATTATATAAATAAAAAGATAAAATACTTCATAATCTATATTGTCCAATAAGCTAATAATAACCATAATAGCAAAATGTTTTAACCCAATCACATAAGTTTTACCGTTCAACATTTCAAAAGCTAAAGTTTCAAATTTTGATAACAAAAGACTCCTACAACATCAACAACAATTCAACGTTCTTCTTAATTAAGTAAGGTCTAGATCTTCACTATCTCCATCTTTCCTTTTTTCGGTTGCTCCACCTACAAAAGAGGATAAATAAAGTCATTACCCTTCAAGGATTGATTTACCATTATAAGAATGGGTATAGTCCATGAACAATGGATAAAGCACAAAGTTTCCAGGTGAAAGAAACACGTTCACACAAACGAAGAAGCCAAAGTTTAGTAACAAATCTAAATCATCAAAACCAAAATTGTAAGCATATGCATTCAGACAAATTGAGAGTTGTCTGCTTTTCTTATTTTGAACCAACTCAAACATAAAAACATAACCAAATGAACAATCTAACAGTTTCGGTAGCCAACGAAACTAACAGTTTTCAACTTCATTGTGATAAAGAACATGTATAGCTATATAAGGTAGTAAATTATTTCATCGTGCTAAAAACTTGCAATAAGATGGACAAACACAATAGGTTGTCTAAAGGGCAGCACTGGAAAAGCATATAGTTCTATAGTAAAAGCTAAGTGCTTCCAGAAAAGGAATTATTGTATTGCTTGAGCATCTACAATATAAAACTTAAACTAATCAAATAGAGTAATGAAATCTTAGATAATCCTCTGAGAGTCAAACAATCGGCGCAACAGAAATTTCCTATAAGCTTGAGTATGCCATTACTGAAGAAGCATCTGAGAGAAAAACAAACCTGAAGAGGTTCATTTTCATCAGTTGTGCCAAGCATCTCGTCTACCAAGGTTCGACGTTCTTTGGGAGTTCCAAAGCTTGATCACTTCTCCACAACATTGGAGGCAAATTTTTGCTGGCTCAACTGAACTATCTATCCCATCAGCTTACTAATTATAGTAGCAAAACACTGAGTAATCGAGTAAAAGAACCACCAACAGCTGGTCAAACAATATTTTTCAAAAACACCTCTTAGAATAAAGGCATGAATGATTTTAATATTCTGCAGACAAGTTGAACCCTCTCTAAATTAGCAAACTTTTGACACCAGTCCCAGTAATTAGCAAACTCTTGACACTAAATTATTTCATCGCTTTCAAGTTCAAATTCCTGATCCGCTTTCCTGTGTTCAAAATTAGATACACATGAGAGCCAAGAAGAGAGAAATAAAAGCAAATAAATAGACGTCTTTCAGACGATAGCATGACAGATATTAATGAAATTGCAAATTAGATAACACTTCAAATTGAGAACAATGTAAGCTTGACAAGATAAAAGAATGCAATTAATATGGTAATCAAGAAAAGCTATATACAGAACATACCTCAAGAAAAGAATATAGACTGCTTCCTAAGAAATGAATTTAGAACTTCTACACAACTTAGCACATTATAGTATTTCAATTTAAGCTGCATACACATCCTAGGTGATTATCAGCTGCAAAATAAAGCCTATGGTAGGTAGAAAGTATGACAAATCCATGATACTAAGTATTTTAGGAAAACCAGGAAGGACAGAAAGAATTCACGCAATAGATTTCCTTATACGAAAATGATGCCATAAAGCAACCTCATAAGTCATGTTTATTTTTCCCAAGCAAGCAAGACCAAATCTTGGATCTGCAACAGAGAAATAAAGACTCATGTTATAATGATATAACTATATGAAGCATGCATAACGATTGGAGGTACGCTTTTTCCCCAAATATTATATGACACTGCATATCACCAATGGAAAAACTTTAGTACTAGTTTTTGAACCAACGACAACAACGAAAAGAGAGCAGAAACCCAATCTAACTTCTTATCAAATTAAACTAATAAACAATCAAAATGACAAGATTATCATCCTGTAGAAAATGGGTAATATGGTTCTGATTCCAAGCTAAATATACAATTTTATGAAACAGCAGAAATACCATCAGCATCACAAGTATATATTAACCATTTCTGCAAAATCACATTGTAACAGTTCTGCAATTCTGCCTAGCTCTATCTGCAAAACTGGTTTTTGGCATCTCTTTTTTGAAACACAAGGACCACTATACGATGACCAAGCAACACGGTTCAACTAGATTAGAGTATAAAGTGCTTAGTCTTTGCACGCATGCTCTAACATATGTACAACGAACATATGTATGACTATACTGCAGAAAAAAGAGCACTTGCTCTTTAATACTCAACAATTGCCTAAGTTGAACTGTCTTTGAAGTAAAGCATGAGTAATTTAAAGCTCACCAATTCCCATCTCGGAAAATATCTCCTCTTGGATAGCAGTGGTAGCAGCAACAGCCTCCTGCTTATCGCTGACAAATATTAAAAATATCTGATTTTTACGAGCTCAGATATTGCATTGATCCCTGCTCAAATATAGAGGAAGCTATTGTAAGAACTCAATTATTCTTAACACATTCAGCAATAAAAAAGAGAATTTTATACCTTGGGGATATTCTGCCTTGACAAGAAGACCGCGAAAGCTGCTACTATTCTGCTTTAAAGGCAAAAATCGTGCAACCTTTACAGTAGAAAATAGGATGAAATTAGGGTGCAATTTTATATTTTCCTCGTAAAGTCGATTGCAAAAAAGGGATGAATTATAGTACAAAAATATCCTAACAGATTTCTGATTAGATTTAAAGCTTCAGCAGAAAATACTCACAACTTTAAGGAAGAGAAAATTAATAAGTTGAACAAGATGGCTCTTCGATTAGTTTTCAAACTTATCTTTTACCACATGAACAAATTTGATTCTCTACCAATAAACTCGAACAACATTTTGAGAAACCCTAGCGGATTAGCAAAATGAGTATTAACCTTAAGGAGATTTTCCGGTGTTGACGCCACCGTTGCCGCCGATGGTGGTTTGTCTTCTCCTCGTAATCTCCGGTAACGAGGAAGGCTATTTGGGAGAGAGAGAGTTGTGAGTGTCGTTTGAGTGTAGTATATCAGATGTAGACATGTAGTGTATTAATAGGTTTATACTCTTATTTTATTACATATAAAAAATAATAGAAAATTAATTAGAGTGGGTCTCTTTTTAGCGGGTGTGTCCAACATTTGGGGGGAAAAGTAGAGGGAATTGTCTCTCACTCCGAGGAGATCCCCTGTCTTTCATATTCACTTTGGGACTACGAGGCGGTACCTCGGAAGATCCCCTGTCTTGCATATTTACTTTGGGTGCAACGACACGACCGATCTTTTTTAGTGTATTAGCCTCGATCCCCTATTTAATATTTTTTCCGTATCTGTTTCTGCTTATGTGACTTACCGGGAGGTCTTGTTTTTAGTTTAAGAGTGTTTTGGGACACTTAGTCCCTAAAACGGAAATTTAAGTCTCAAGATTTTGACCGTAGTTGGAATTGTATGGAGACGACTCCAGAATGGAGTTCTGTCGGTTCCGTTAGTTCCGTTAGGTGATTTTGGACTTAGAAGCGTGTCCGGACTATGAATTTGAGGTCTGTAGCTAATTTAGGCTTGAAATGGCGAAAGTTGAATTTTTGGGAAGTTTGACCGGGGGGTTGACTTTTTTATATCGGGGTCGGATTCCAATTCTGGAAGTTAGAGTAGGTCCGTAATGTTGAATATGTCTTGTGTGCAAAATTTGATGTCTATCGGACGTGGTTTGGTAGGTTTGGGCGTCGTTTGAGGAACTTGAAAGTTTAGAAGTTCTTTAGGCTTGAATCCAGGTGTAATTGGTGTTTTGATGTTGTTTTGAGTGATTCGAAGGTTCGACTAAGTTCCCATGGGGTTATATGACTTATTGGTATGTTTTATTGAGGTCCCGGGGGTCTCGGGTGTGTTTCAGATGCTTAACGGATTGAGTTTTGGACTTATGAAATTGCTAAAGACTTCTGATATCTAGTAGTTTCGCACTTGCGGTGGGGAGGCTGCATGTGCGTACTCGCACGTGCGGAGGAAGGGGCGCAAAAGTGGGAGTTGAGCAGATGGTCAGGGGTCGCAGGTGCGAGGGTGTTTCCGCATCTGCGACCCCACAGATGCGGAAAGTGAGTTGGATGGGAGGATCGCAGAAGCGGACTTTTGTCCGCAAGTGCGCACACGCAGGTTCGACCACTTGCACGTAGATGCGTACCCAGCCCTTTTAGTCATTCCCGCACCTGCGATGGAATTTTCGCAGGTGCAGCCTCGCAGATACAACAGAAGGTCCGCAGGTGCAGAAGAACTGGGCAGAAAAATGGGATTTCGAGGGTTTGATTCCCATTTCGATTTTGGGACTTTGAGAGCTCGGTGTGAGTCGATTTTTCAAGGTTTCTTCAACAAGATTGTTGGGGTAAGAGATTCTAACTCGGATTGGACTATATTTCATGAATCTATTGTTATTTTCATCTTTTAATTAGGGATTTCAGTTGTAAATTTGGGGGGAAATGGTATAAACTTCATAGGCTAAAATTTTGAGTTTTGGAAGGTAATTTGAGGTTGGATTCGAGTAATTCTTATATGGTTGGACTCGTGAGTGTACTGGTATTCATATTTTGTGACTTTTGTTGGATTTTGACACGTGGGCCCGGGGGCCGGTTTGAGCCTATTTTGGGTTTTGACTTATAATTTCGTATTTCTCTTGTGAAATTGATTTTTTTAGCCTACATTAATTATATCGTACTGCTTGTGGCTAGATTCAGGGCGTTTGGAGGTTGATCCGAGGGGCAAGGGCATTGTAGAGTAGGATTTTGCGCGATTTGAGGTAAGTAACAGTCTTAAATCTGGTTTTGAGGGTATGAAACCCCGAGAATTGGTATGATGTGAGTGTTTGAAGGTGACACACATGCTAGGTGACGGGCGTGTGAGCGTGCACCGTGAGGGATTGTGACTTGGTCCGTCCCGTGAGACTATAAAGTCGAATAGCCATTGTTATTACTTGTTCTTCCTTGTCTTTGAGCAATTAACTGCCTTTCATGTTAGAAACCATGCTTAGGCCATATGATATCACTGTTGGGACCTGCATCGGTCGTATACTTATTGAATTGACTGCTAATTGATGTCTTATACTCAGTCACAGTCTTACTTGTGTGTTATATCTCTGTTCCCCCTCATTTCTTGTTGATACTTATTGTATTCTCTGTTTGGGCTGATTAATATGATATTCTGTGAGCCCGAGGGGCTGGAGAGGTTAGTGACTGAGA